AGGGTGGCAGCTCCTTGTGGCTGGGAGGGGAGGGAGGGTGAAGCCAGAGGGATGCTGCGATGCTTTACAGCCACACAAGCTCTTCCCATGCCTGCGTTCCCCCCGGCCCTGGGGACTCTGGAGCCACATCAGCTTGGGGCAGCTCTAAGGACACACTCAATGTGCGGGACAGGAGATCCCTGCAGTAAAAATAGCTGCTGGCCTTCCCACCCATGCTGGGGACCGGAGGTGTCTGGGCCACCTTCCTCTTGCACTCACTGCAGCTGATACAGCCTTGTGTGTCTGCCTGCCCTTCAGCAGAGACGCAGGGCGGGAGACGCGCCCGAGAGCGAGCACCCGCTGCCTGCGCTCCGCAAGACGCCGAGTTTCCATCCCCACGTTGGTCTTGCAGCTCCGGGCAGCGGCTGAGCCGGGTTAACATCCCTGGGGAGACCTACCCTGCTTCTGGCATGGCCCAGGGCTCGGCACACGTGGGCATCGCCTGGTGCTCAGCACACACCCGCATCCCTCGGGGCTCAGCATGCTCTGGGCTCAGCACGCACCGGCATCGCTTGGGGCTCAGCACATGTGGGTGTTTCTTGGGGCTCAGCACACACCGGCATGGCTCAGGTCTCGGCACGTACGGGCGATGCTCGGGGCAATTCTCACTTGGGCTGTGCTGCTGGGCTCAGGACCAGCCCTCGGCCGCCGCTGTTTGCTCGCAGAGGCGGTGTCGGCATTCGGGCTGCGGCAAGTGTTTGGCCTTGGGTACCTCGCTTTGTCTGGCTTCCCTCTCCTGCTCCTGGCTGTTTGCAGTCTCCCGTGGGCAAAGCTGCCCTCCCAGACCTGCTCCCCCCTCAGCTGTTCTTCTGCTTTACCTCTTGCTCGGCAGAGGCCGTAGCTCCCCGCTCGCTGGGCAGCCACGTCCCGCACCGAAGCGCAGCCATGAGACGCCAGCCTGCGGACCGACACAGCTGAGCGATGGATTCACTGTTTCTAACGAACGTGCCTGTACAGGGGCTTTTACAAGCTGTGCAGGGACCTGCTCCTGCTGCCTGCTGGTTGCTCTCGGAGTGTTCGTTAGCAAAGTCTCACCAACCAGCGTCAGCAGGAGCGAACCAAAAGCACCCGCGTGCTGTCCCGTGGGGGAGCAGAGGAGAGCCAAGCAGCTCTCAGAGCATCTTCCCAGCCCACCCGAATCCCCGCGGTACACCAGCCCCGCTGCCCCCGGTGCAGAGCCAGCTGCGGTGATTGCCCTGCTCAGCACCCTTTCAGAAGTGCTCAGCACGCTGCAGGATTTGACCCGGTCCTTTCGCCAGCCGTTGTGTCCAGGACAACTATTCAAGTCACGGGCTGTCGCAGGATGGAGGCGTCTGTCTTGCAGCGCGAGCCCGCATTTGCCCTCTGCAATGTCCTTCCTGGGTCACGTCAGACAGGGCTCAGCACCCTGCAGGGGAGGGTCCATGGCTTTTGGGGCCCCCCTCCCAGCTCCCCGTCCCGCTGCCAGGCTGTCCCGGGACTGACCCCCCTCGCCGTCCCCGTGGCCGGCAGGATGCTTACGGTGGAGGCGGTGGGCGGTGGGGACCAGGCTCAGCAGGAGGAGCAGGACACCAGCGGCCAGCGGGACCCAGACCAGGGGGCTGCAGGCACCTGGGAAGCAAGAGGGGACGTGGCGTGGAGCTGCGCCCTCAGCTCAGCACCCGGCATCATCCTCCCCCATCAGCTCTCCAGGATGAAGGATGGGGTGGGGAGGGGAGAAAAGCAAGGCAGGCCCTCAGGAGGGGTGGAGGACATGGCCATCACCCTGGCGTATCCCTTGGGGGATGCATTACACCCAGAAGGCTTTGCAGGGAACTTAGCTATGAGTCACGATGACCTTGTTCGTGGTGTCCTCTCTGGCAGGGGAATGCAGCATGGCTGCAGGACTGACGCTGCGCCCACAGGGGCTGCGCACCCCAGGGACACCAAAGCTTAGGCAGAGATAAATGGAGATGCATCCTGGCCCCCAAATCCTCCTATATCGCAGGGGACCGCTCCTGAAGGCAGAGCTCAGCTCCATCCAGAGCGGTGGTGCCCACCCCTGCAGACTCACGTTGTGGTTGCCCCCCCTCCCCGAAAAAACTCCAGCTGAACCTTGGAGACCCCCAGGAGCTCAATGTTCAATGCAAGCCAGCCCAGAGCCGTACCTTTCTTGCTGATAGCTTTGCCTTTGGTTACGCACCGCGCAGGCTTTTTAGGGGGTGGTGCCTGCGTGGTCTTCGGAGGCAGAGGCAAAACATCAACTGGTGGGTAAGGAGGAGAAGAGGGTGGTCAATACGGCACCGAGTGCAGCAGAGGTCTCAAACAGCAGGCAGGAAGGGCTGGAAATTCTGGCTTTTAAAGCTAGCCTCATCCAGGGACCCCCACAAAGGGCTGGGTCACCTGGAGGGGCCGGGAGCTTGGCCTGAACCTCTCGGTGGCCACAGAAGTTACCAAGAGCTTGCAAAAGTGTTAATAAAACAGCGTACCAGGCAAACAAGGGCAGAAGGCTAACGAAAGGGAAGAGGAAACTTCCTCGAGCTACATTTACTGCCAGGAACCACCTCATCAGTGCTGTGTGAAATCGCAGGTAGCAGGAGATGTCAGGAGCACGGGGAGGTTTGAAGGGATCCCTGGATCTTTGCTGTATTCAGATTGCTCTGAGCTTTGCTCAGAATTGGGTACTTTTTTTTTCTTTCTGATAAAATGAGAGCAGGATTTATTATGGTACCTCTGAGTTACAATGGAGCACTATTTTTTTCTGCTTCTATCCCGGGCTGAAATTCCTACAGAAACCACCGTTTTTTTACATGGAAATGTGAGACATCAGGTGCCTGGGATATATCTGGACAATTTCTCCCTTACATTATAATGGCCTTCAAGAAAAGGAACTCAAAGCCAATTTGTTTTATCATGTGTACAAAAAGGAAAAAAAGAAAATATCCAGTAAAGCCTGAGCCCTCCCAGAGCACCTGCAGGTGTTTGGTTTTAAATTGAAGTGTCCTTGATCGCACTGAATTTCAGCCCTGCTTTTCATGCTTTGCTTTGCACATGGATATGTGCCCAGTTGATGAAAAACAGTTCTCCTTTATCTTAAATCAGCTTTTCTTCAAGTGGGCAAGGATCCAGGATGGATTTCTCAGCCAGCTCGAGGTGCAGGGCTTATTTGCAACAAAACCAGAAAGGCTGGGACACTGAGGATGATTCAGAGCCAGAGGCCGTAGCTGCATCTCGGTTAAATAAGTTATTTGTTTTCCTAAAATCCTGCAAAGAAAGGGCTGAATCCTACTTCAAATGCATTAGTTTTTCTACACCACCTCCTGCTTGATGATCAAGGGGAAAAAGGGCTGATATGAGCTGTTGTATGGCCCAGGGTCTGTAAAGAATCATCCCTCTCCCATGCCACCCGCAGACAGCTCTGCTTTTGGGTTGGAGCTCCCCAGTGACGGTGGGTTTTGAGCTTTGAGGAATAAATCCCAATCCAGCCCTTTATGTGAAGGACAGGCTTGAAACCTGCAGTCAGAGCCACCCCAGAGGTGTGAGGGGTGATGTCCTCTGGCCTTGAAGCTGCTGCTCCTGTCCCTTGGAGGAAGGGTAAGGAAGAACCGGAGTGCGGGGAGGCCTGGGAGCTGAGCAGGGCACACATCCAGCCTCCCATCCAAAGTACCACAAGGGACGAGAAAAACATAGGGCACGTCAGTATGGGGGCTGAGCACCTTCCAGTGGAAATCCTAAAACTAGGACCAACACGGCGCTCAAGGCATGACCACAGCAAAGCAACTGCTGGTGGCAAAGGCACTGTCACATGCAGCTGAGCTAAAACAGAGCTGGTTCCTGTATTTTCTGACTTATCTGGTCTCACAGGTCTCTTCAGGAAAACCCCAGACCCCCAACCTTGCATCTCAAAATTGGGAAGGGTCTACCAACACGCATCACCCCTTACCTAGGGGACCTCATCCCAGCCTGCTGGTGGCACATTTTGGAGCCCCGGAGGTGATGCTTACCCACACCGAGCCATGTCCCACTGCCTAGGAGGAGCTGGGAGGACTGGGAGACAGAGCAGTAATAGGTGCCGTTGTCCGAGGCATGGAGGCGGCTGATGTGCAGGCTGTAGGAGGTGCGGGAACTCGCCCTCTGCACACTAAACTTGTCCTGGCTGATGTTTGCACCATAGATGGCTTTGCCCAACGGGCTGGAATATACCAAGAACTGGAAATTTTGCATCTCCTGGATCCAGCGGTACCAGTACACGCCAGCGTGCTCTTCCTTCAGCTCACAGAAGATTGCTGTTTCATTGTTGGTTTGGGCTAAAATACGCCCTGGAGTCTGGGATAAAAGTAGATTTGTACAGAAGCCTAAGAAAAAAGACAGAAATACTTAGTTATTATTTTCTTCTCATTACTTTTCTTCCATTCTAAGTATAGATTTTCTCTCTGAGCTTGACAAGGTCAAGTAGCTACAGACCAGGGGGATCATGCAAGCAAGAAGCAGAGGCATCTTTACCAGGAACCTCAGCCCATATTCCCTCAGAGGCCTTGTTGGGTTCCCCAGCTACTTTTTCCTCAAGCTTAGTTGTAAAGGTAGATTTTTGCTCCGTAAACACCCATCTAGGGAGAAGGCTTAGTGGCGGAAGAGGGATAGAGGGATGATTTGGAGGGTGTCCTCGGGTCTGTATGTGCAGGGAAGGGCATCTCCGCCTGCTCCTGTGGATGCCCCTCTCCTGCCCTCCTGTTCTCTCTCATTTTTTGGAAATGCTTCACCTCTCTTTCAACAAATTTTTTTCGAGCCTCTTCTTTGCCAGATTTTTGTTCTAACAGAAGCAATGCCAATACACTTCAGATCGCATCTCAGATGCAGAAAAGGACCAGAAAAAGATCAAAAAAATTGCAAAACATCTCAAAAAATCAGCCAATTTGCTATTAGTTTTCTCACAAAATTATTTTTGTATGAATTTCGAGACCTAGGGAACAAGAGGGAGTGAGCGGTAGCGGCAGGGTTGAAAGCTTCAGTTTGGCATCGCATCGCTGTGTTTGGGCAAAAGCTTTTGTGGAAATTATCTGAGTCGTTGTTTGGCCTGGGCAGATGTGAGCGGTATCTGTGTGTGAGCAGGATGTGTCCTTGTGAAAAGGACAAGGGGTGCCTTGTGATCCTTTCTGTTCAGCAAACAGTCCTACAAAGTTGCAGATGCTCCAAGACCGAGAAAAAAACAGCCCTCTGAAGATAAGGATGCTCTCGCTTCCCCCATCCGTTTCCCAGGCGTGTTTTAAAGCTGTGCAAAAAGCTCAGCAAACCACATCTTTTGGCCTTTTTTACATTAAAAAGTTCCTATTCCTTCAAAATCCCAAAGCTGCCTACAGTGATTGTTGCGAACAGCCTCGTGCAGCCCTGCAAACCCAGTGGTGCAGGAATGGGTTTGCGTGACCACAAGAACACCTGAAGCCATTCCCTCGACCCATGGCCCCGCTGTCCCCCACGTCCCCGATGGAGACGAGCAGAGGAGAGGGCTCTGCTGACTGACACAGGGCCAGAGCCCTGCTTCGTCCCCGTGATGATGACCCCACCGCTGCCAGCATGCTGCAGAGACGAGTAGGCTTCAGCCCTGATCTTGCAACGCCAAAATTCAAGGGTTGCACAGCAGCCACAGTATTTCACCGCATCCTCTGGTGCTGTGACAGTATAAATGTCTCCTCATTACTAAAATACATCATTTTCAGGTTTTAGAGTGCAGTCTTCCCAAACTTTACTTTGGCAAACATCTGCGTGGTGCTTTAGGGGAGGAAATGTTTGTGGCCGTGGCGCATGGTGGCTTCAGGGTGCCCTTGGCTGCCCTGAGATGTGGCTCTGCTGGGCATGGGAAACTTAACCCCGCTTGAAAACCTTTTCCTCGAGCTGCTGGGGAGGTATTAGATGGATCAGAAAGGACGAGAATGGATCCTGGGAGACGGTCAGCTCTGCTCTGAGCCAGAGATCAAGCCCTAGCGGGGTGAGCTGGGACGGAGACAGAGCAGAGAATCTCATCCTCTGCCACACCTTCATCCCCCAAAACCTCCCTGTTCCCTTTCCTGGTGTATTTTCCCACAGAGGACCACGGGGAATTTGGGTCGGAACATGAATAGAATAGAATAGAATAGAATAGAACAGAATAGAACAGAATAGAATAGAACAGAACAGAGTAGACTATTTCAGTTGGAAGGGACCTACAACAATCATCTAGTCCAGCTGCCTGACCGCTTCAGGGCTGACCAAAAGCTACAGCATGTGGTTAAGGGCATTGTCCAAAATTATGCAGTGATAGCTGATAATGTCCTGTAGATCTATACTACGCCTGTATACTCAAACTTCCACCATCCAGATGCTGTGCAACGCACTCCACGTGCTGGAGCGGGGTGGAGGAGAGGCTCCAGCACCACTTTAGTTGCCCTCAACCCTTCAGAGATGTGTCCCTCTTACCTGGGATCTGGAGGCAGACGCAGAGACAGAGCCACAGCGGAGCCATGGCGGTGGAGTCAACGACAGAGGGGTTTTGTGCCAGCTCCCCCTCTCCACATACGGTCGCCTCTTGGTGGTAGGGCTGGCTTCACACCGGGAGGTTCTTCCCCGTCTCGGCGCAGATGTCTCACTGACGGCTGCCAAAGAGCATCTGCTGCGGCAGCGCCCGGAGCCTCAGCCCGGCAGCTGCCGCTGTGCCCAGCCCCAAATCCAGGTGTGCATCAGGGCAGCAGCCCCATGCGCTTCTCTGGCACCGCACGGGATCTCCCAAAATCCCCTTTAGGATGAAAAAAAGAGAAAACTCGTTGATTTTTAATTACGTTCTTTTCCTATTTCATCACCTAGCTTTTCCTCTTCCTTTTAATCTAGCTCCATGCAATAAAAAATGACAAATGTTGGAGCTTGGCATTAAAAATAAAAGCAGGAAAGATGGATTTTTGCTGGTTTCTCCTCCAGTGAAATTAAAAAGCATTCAAAATAAGGAGAAGATGCAATTTGAGCTGTGGGGTTGTTTTCTTCAGCAGAATCTTTAGCGGGAGGTGTTTTTCTATGGGCCTGGAAAATGCTGAATGCCAAACTCACTTGCCACAGAGCATGAGGCATGAGGCATCGCAGAAAACTTTGAAGCCAGAAGCAAGAAACCTCAAACAAATTCAGTGGCTGAAAAACCGCAAAAATAAGGAAACTCTGCTGGGGCTCCCCAGCTCGCAGCGGGCGCTGCTTTGGTGGCTGCGACACTGCATGGCTCATATGCAGAAATATTGAAATGATGGACAAAATATCAGAGTGGCTTTGAAATGTCTTAGGGAGGGAGAGATTTGAAGCACTTGGGATTTAGGATTTGAAGAGTGAAATACGTGATGCAAAATTACAGGGGTGAACTGGTGTCAGCAAGCCATCAACATTTCCATGGTTGGGAAAAAAAAAATTAAATTATTTATTAATTTTATTTATTGACTGCCACTTTGGCTGCTGAGCAGGGTTTGGTTTTCTTTTCTGCCCATGTCATGCAGATGCTCATGGTGCTTACAAAGCCTCAGCGTCTCCGCTGGGCTGGCTCTCCAGCGAGGGGGGATTTCCCAGGGGGGTCTCACATAGGGGCACCAAGAAACCTCCCCCGGGGTTTCAGTTGGCGAAGGAATAGGAAAAATAATATTGCATCTTATACGGTGTCATTTTTTTGGTCCATTTTTGTACCAGATTTTTCCATGCTGCTGTAACATGTCCCCTCCCCATTTCTGTTTGAAATAATTTCCTGCTCGAAGCGGGTTTCTAACCACCAGCAGCCTTGCCATGAAGGGCTCGGCTGCTAAAATTTAGGGTGGGCTGACTCGCTCCTTAACTCTTTCCTGGCAGGAGAAAGTAATTTTGGTGCTTTCAAATGCATTTCAGCACTTTTAAGGGCTCATTTTCAGAGCTGAGCCCCTGAGGCAGGGTGCAGCCACCATTGCCTCTCCCCTCCTCGCCTCCCGTTCGCCTTTCCCCTTTTGTTTCACATCACTCCCGGATTGGGACCTCCCCAGAACAGGGTGTGGGCACCTCGGATTTTCGGGGGGTTTGCTTAATACGAGAAATGCCACCGCCGGTGAATTTTCCCTCTATCCCCATGGTGCTGTCGGTGAGCTCAGCCCAACATCCCCGGCTGCTGCAGTGGCATCCCCCTCTCCTCACTGCTGTGGTCACCTGGAGCATCTTCTGTCCTCCTGGCCAGGACCAAAGTGCTCCCAGAGGTGGCTTTTGTCACCATTACCACTTCAGATACAGGGCATGGTACACTGGGCACCAAACGCTGCTGCATGGCCGGTGACATTGGGTTGTCTAAGCAGATATTTTGGCTTGGGAAGATTCCCCAGGAGATTACAGCAGCTTTAGAGATGTTTCCCTGCAGCGCTTTTACCTGTAGGATGTCTCCTGTGGAAAGAAAAAGGAATATTTGCAGTGTAAAAGCATAGTGTGTGAGCTGGAACGGGGGTTAATTTTCAATTTTTTTGCAGCTGCTGTTTATCTGCAGCTCACCTGTTTACCAGAGGCCAAGCTGTTCTCGGGACCGGGTGTTGCTCCTAGAAGAAAACATTTTGGAGGTGGGATGCCTTTATCTGGCAGCCCATCGCCGACAAAAATAAAAGCACTGTGGGAATGTGCAGGAGAGCAGCTGCTGTTTACAACATCCCCACGTTGTTTGGGGCTGCTGTCCTGGGAAGAAAGTAGGGGAGGACAAAAGGGTGTAAGCTGAACTGATCTGTCAACACAAGGAAGATCTGCTGGTGACCTTGCTAGGGTACAGCGGCTCCTAATCACCAGTGTTTGGCTCACGGCCGGGGCAAGGTGGGGGGGATCGCTGAATTTAGGTGCATTTGTGTTATTCAGCTGCAGTTTCTAGAGGGGATTTATCCTTTTTCTGAAATGAAAGACAATGATCCCCGTCCCCAGCCCAGCCACCTCCCTGCCCCATCTTGGTGCTCGCCCTGCGGGTCTCCTCCTTGCCCACCCCTCTTCCTCAGCCCGCACCCCACACAACTCACCACGCTGATGCTAATGCCCTGCGCTTTCACCAGCTTTGTTACATTTTCAACTTTTTATTTTCCCCCTATGACGGGTTTCTTACGGCAAAGTGTCTGTTTTTGGGGGGTTGGAGCAAAGCATCAGAGCAGAAGAAAGGGGTCTACAGACAAGAAGCAGGACTTGGCTGGGTTTCGTCTCTGTTAACTCCCGCGTTGCAGCAGAAGTAACTGCAGCTGGGCTGTAAATGCCAGGCTGGAGGAACAGTTGCCACAAAAATAAGGAAAAAAATCCATTCCCGCTGTGCCTTTTGGGGCTACAAGGGCTGACTTTTGGGATCGGGGAAGGCTGCTTAGCATCCAGCTTGGTCCAGCATGGCCAGTACTGCAGCACCTGGAATAAGGGCCTGTTGGGGATAACAGGCTGCGGGACGGAAACTCCCCAGGGCTCAAGATGCCATGGGTGAACATTTTTTGCTCTTCAAATTTTTTTAAATGATTTTAGTCCGTGGAAGGTTGTAGCTTCGTTAGGGGTAAAAGTAGCACTGAAAATGATAGCATTTTCACGGGGTAAGATGAGTATGACCTTATTTCTCAGTGTAATAGCAGAAAAAAAATCAAGCGGGCCAAGTTTTCTTTTCTGAACTGCTCCAGGCTAAGATGTGGTTTGTCGGGTGAGGTCGGGGGGCGGTCCGCCTGCCTTTGCAGGTGCAGATTTACAGCTGATGCCACACCATGGCCGAGGCTCCTGGCACATCGTGGAGTAGCCCCAAGGCACACGCCAGCGTGCGGCGGGCTGGTTGGTGGCATGCAAAAATGCTGCTTTTGAAGTCCAGAAGTCAAGATGGATCTAAACTACAAACTGTGTGAATTCTCCTGCCATCTCCCCCACCAGCAAGCAGAGGTCTTCTCAGTGGTGGGGGCTTGGGGGTCCGTGTGTGTGACAGGTGTCAGACGTGAGCCCCATGAGTGATCTCCCCCCAAAACCCCGGTGCTAATGGGCTGTGCAGCAAGTGAGGAGGCCATCGAGGGCCTTCGAGCAGATGGGTGCTGTGGGGACAGTCTCCAGCTCTCCCTCTTCAGGGCACCTGGTGAAAGCAGAAGTTAACATGAGAAAGCGGTGACTAACCCAGGCCCCCCTCCCAAAAACAGATAAGGGGCAGAGCAGCTGCTCCCCGTGTGATTTCAGCTTTTCTAATCAGCACCGAGAGGATAAGGAAAGACAAGGAAAGTGTCCTTGGGAAGACAAGGGGAGGGAAGCAACACCTGCAGGAGGAAAAGCCACCGAGAAAGTAAACAGAGGTGATACCAGCCCTGAACAACAACCTGCCATGGCTATAAAAACCCACCGGAGTGAGACCCCGCAACCAGCTTGACCTTAAAGCTGCCGAATCCACCGGAACTCTGCAGAACCATCTCCAGATCCCCAGGACTGCCAGGACATCCAGCCAAGGATTGGTGAGATCTTATTATCGGGGTCCTACGCCTCTGCTTTGCTTCATCCCTTCCTGCATCCCTTCCCTTTCCCCTCCCCGGGAGCCGGCGGGTTGCAGCGGCTGGCCCGTCCGCCGGCGCCAACCCGCCACCCGGGTGGGTCGGTGGTGCTGGTGTTATGGTAGCTTCGCCCTGAGACGGAGCCGTCTCGGATCTCGTTCCCCTCACCATGATGACCGATATTGTTAGCAACTGGAAGCTGGAGCAGTTTGTGCTCCAGAAGTGTCTCCCCCCAATCTGGTCCCCAGGGGCTTTCCAGGGCCCGGAGGCGTACCAGCAGCTGTGCCAGCAGTGGGAGAGCTGGTCGGAGGAGAGCAAAAAGCCCAAACCCACAAATAAGTGCAAGAAGCGTGCGGCTTTGCAGGGCTTGTTGATGGTGGGCAGGGAGTTGTCCAAATTGCTGAAGGAGGCTCTTGAGAATGTGCAGACGCTGGAGCAGGCCAAGGGTGAGCTGAAAATGCAGGTGGACAACCTGCGGGCAGAGGTGCAGGGCTTGTGCGGGGACTCTCTGCGGAGCGCGGTGGAGATCACCCGGCTGGAGAACAAGCTGGGCTATGAGAAGCTGAAAACGGAGGAGCTGGAGAAGGAGGTTGGCAAATGGATCGGAGAGACCCAAGATGCGCAGAGCGCGGTGCGGGCAGTCCTGCAGGACGTCCAGCGGGACCGGGGCACCGGCCCCGACCACAAGGTGTGCCATGCCAAGATCCAGGAGCTGCAGGCGGAGCTGGGGGTCTCCAGGGGCATCATGGCCGCTATCCAAGGCAAGAGGAGCCGGGTGGGGAACGACGAAGGGGAGGACTCCTCGGAGCCGCACCCGCTCCACTACGACTACGAGGATGACGTGTGGGGCGCCCAGGCGACCCCCCTACGCTCCTCGGCGGGAGGAGCTGTGCCAGCTCCAAGGAGGGGAGGCGGAGGCTTCCAAAATTAAAAAGAGCCCCCCTGACGAGCTGGCCAGCCACAGCCCGCTCCAGGCCATAGACACCAACAGGCCTGTGATCTGGTTTACCCCCGAGCAGCTCAAAACGGTGGGGAAGATGCTGGGGCCGTTGACGAAGGAGACGGCGGTCAACTGGCTGTCCAGGGCGCAGCGGCTGCCCAGGTGCCAGAGCGGCAGCTCAGTGAGTGACCTGATAGACGTGGTGAGAAAGTGCATGAAACCAGACGATTTTGCAGCGCTGCCGGGGGACGTGCAGATGGGCAACGTCCCGGACATCGGGGACGTCCAGCTGGCCGTGCTGAAGGTGTTCTTCCCCGAGGTTAACCCCTTAGTGCTCTTCCACCAGGAGAAGCAAAACCCCGAGGAGCGTCCAGATGCCTATGTTAACCGTAAGAAGATGCTCTACCAGATGGCTGGGCTGCCCGGCTCGAAGGACTCCCCCCTCAATTTTGACAGGCCCGAATTCAAGGAGCCGCTGGTGGTGGGGCTCACACCCCCATTGCGGGTGATTGCTGGTGGGGACGCGGCCAGAAAGCCACTGTCTGAGCTGGAGCAGATCCTGACCCAGAATTTTGAGCTGCAAAAGCAAGTGTTCCCGGGGTACATTCTCGGGGGGAAGAAAGGGAAAAGCTCGGCCATTCCCTTCCAAAATTCAGGGGTGAGAAAAATGCAAGGAGATAACCGTAAAGATTCCGATGGCAAGGGTGGTCCGGGGAAGGAGAACCAGCAAGGGATGAGATTTCAGAAGTCCAACCCTTGGCGGGCTGAGCTGAGGAAGCGCTTGATAAAATACGAGAAGCAGGAGGATATCGATGGCTGGAGCTCTACCGAAAATTGGCCCTGCACGAGGCCAAAAAGCACAGCAGCTCCAACCCAATCGACCCGGGGTCTAAGGCTCAGCAATAGGGCTGCCAGGCACCCGCACCGCCCCTTTTTGTGGCACCGATTAAGACCGATTCGTGGGGGCACCTGATAGTTGATATAACTATTGGAGGGGGGGTGCTTGGACAAGTGATGTTAATTGATACCGGTGCCTCTTATTCGATTCTGAATATGGCCCCTGGCAAAGCTGGGCTCTTCCAAACTTGTGAAATTATTGAATTGACAGGGCCGAACGGCCAAAAATCCTCAGTGCCGTTCACAGGGCCTGTACCCTTTGAAATTGGGGCTGCCAAAGGGTCTGAAAAATTTGGGAAAATGGAAATGAAGGGAAAGCCGGGAATTTTAGCCATCTCTGCACTGACAAAGATGGGGGTGGTGGTGGACCTGGCAAACCAGGCGCTGTTACATTGCCCTCAAAGCGACGCGCCCATCATCCCGGCGAGCCACAGGGGGATGT